AATATATAACTGAGTAAAATAAGCATTTCATGCACAACTTACACTTTTGTCTAAATATTGTACTTGTTCTCCTGTAGTTACACTACAAAAATATACATCACTTCATAATTTCTATCTAGATTATTTTTTGTGTGTGTTGGCGTTATGTACTCAGTGAATATGATGTTTGTGATGTTACTCTGAGTGTGAATCCACACTGGGCAAGCTGAAAAGTTAGCGTGGCCACGGTGGGAATTGAACCCGAAACCTTTGGGGTACTAGTCCAATGCTCTGCCAACTGAGCTATGTGCCAAGTCGGTTCGAGTTGATGATATTTCGGAACTGAGTCTAGTTCCTTCTATATCAGTGTATTCTATATGTCTGATTATTTTTTGTCATACTGAGTACATCACCAGAGTACATAACATCAAGTACATAACACCAACACACATAAAAAATAATCATATAGAATACACTGATATAGAAGGAACTAGACTCAGTTCCAAAATATCATCAACTCGAACAGACTTGACCATGTAGCTCATTTGGCAGAGCATTGGACTAGTATCCCAAAGATCGCATCCCACCGTGGCCAAGCTAACTTTTCAGCTTGCTCGGAGTGGATTCACACTCAGAGTAACATCACAAACATTCTATCTAGATGTTATAAAATATACAAAATTCACTTACAAGAACAACTTTAATTAAAGGAATGTTCTCCTGAGGTATGCTCCTTCTCCTCAAGGACATACGTCAAAGCTGCCATGATACAACGGTTTTCTAACTCTGCAAAAAGATCAAACATAGAATAAATTTCTATAATTTCTAATTTTCTGTGGTGAGTAATTGGCTACAAAATAAAAATTGGGATTATTCTACAGTCCAAGTTAATTTGTAGATAATCCTACTATTACACAAAAACCTTAAATAGCCTGACTCGTTATTTTTAAGTTATACAGTTTATACACTGGTCTTTTTTAAATTTTCTTCTCAGTCACAACGAGGGCTATCTTTGAGAAATACCTGGTATAAAACAATTGGTCACAATTGGTCACCTTGTCATTTCTAGGGCTCCACGAGCCACAAGATAGAACATTTTGCTATTCGGCTAGATGTCAGTATGTCAGATATGTTGGACGACATCAGGCCAAATAACTGATACTGTTGATATAAGATTTATACTTTCATTTAAGATAAATAATTATTTTAATTGGTTATAAAATGAGGGTGTTTATAATACTTTGATTTGAAAAGATACTTGAAATCATAGGAAAGAACTTCTCTCTGAACATGGCATTGCCAAAGCCTTGCTCGCAAAGTTGAAAAGACAAATCCGGTATCTGCCAATATACTGGAAAATGTAACAACATGTTGACAATACTGTTCATAGTGGGCCGCACAACCTTGTTCATGCCTGTTGATGTCAACCTGGAACAAGTTGTTGATTTTCTCAATTTTTACACGTGTAGTACTAAGCTGAATGCAAAAATATTGACAGCGTGCACACTGCATACAGTATATTATGAATATTGACTAATTAAGAAATTAAAATATCTTTGTAAAGTGCACAATTTTCTGCTCTTGGGAATTTAACAACCCTTAGGGGCCAAGTCACAATATTCATGTTGCCACAAATAACATTGAATCAATGTTATCACTTCATCCATGGCACCCACCCACTTCAGATAATGTTGATCGATATTCAGTCGTATTTTGACTTCCGATTTGACGTTATTGGTGGAAGCATGAATATGGACGTGGCCCCTACGAGGCTGATTACATGGAGAGTTTTCAACCAGGGCTAAGTTTTAGCCCAGCCCAAGGATAAAATCCTATTAAAACATAGCAAGTGGTTATTACATGATTATTCAGTCAAGTTTGAGCTGCCCAGGCTGAAATTTCAGCCCGGCAGCATGTAATCACAAATAATTCCAGCCCGGGCTAGAAAACCAACTGTTTAATTTAAATGGCTTTATTTTGAGTATTTGTTTCATCTTTAAAAATACTATACATGTAACCACAGTCTCACAAAAGTCAAATAGTCGACTAATCAGCATCTTAATGCTTCAAAGAAGTGTAACAGGCTTATCATAATAGATTTTTATTCTCCTATTTTGCTACACTCTACTGTATTTTGTGATAATTTCAGCTGGGGCTGACATTTCAGCCTGGGTTAATAACTATAAATACTGTAAACCTCCGACTATAAGCCCTGAGCTTATATACTTTCGTAAGCGATTTATACAAGGGGGGGGGGGGCTTATATACGGGGTTGCTTATACATGGACGATATTTTGTGTTAGTAATAAACAAGTCAGACATAAAACAAATCAGTCATAAACAAGAAATAAACATGTATTAAGCAGCGATTACTGGGCTTATATTAATTAGGGGACTTACATTTGGGGGATTTATACACGGAGGGGGGGGGGGCTTATATTTGGAATGAGGTGAGCGTTAGTACATGTGGCACACCTGGGCTTATACATGGGGGGCTTATATTTGGAGGGGCTTATAGTCGGAGGTTTACGGTATACTGTAGCTCTGACTAAACTCAGACCGAGCTCCTGAAAACTGCTCATGCAAATTATTGTGATGCAATTTCAGCTCGTTTAACTGGGCTGAAAATCTCCATGTATAATGACTAATGTTAAACAGTTTCTTCATGCATAAAATGTGAGCTTGGGATTTCTCAGAGGCACATAAACTATGAAAAACTCAAAAATGTATCCTCAATGTATTCAGCAACAGTCGGGGATTGTCTGGATATTAAATATAGATATAGCTATTTACTGTGATAGCACAATATAGATAATACAAAGGAAGGATAGTTATCCAAGCCTGAAAGCCATAGAACTTTATATAAATCAATATTAGCTAAATGGGTCAATATACTGTATTGATACCTTCTCAATACATCTGACAATACATTAACAATATAATATTTACATTGTTAACGTATTGAGAGGGTATCAATATTGACTCACTTAGCTAATATTGATATAATCGCCAAAGCAAGTTCTCTAGCTTTGTATGAGAGAACAATCCTACCTTTGTTCTATCTACTGTATATTTCATACCTTCTTGTAGCCTGTATATATCATGATTTCGACAGTTCGACTTGCTTAGATCACATATTATGGCATTATTAATTGCTTGAAAATATAATCTGTAAATATACAAGGCAATATCACTAAGTTTTAACGTATTTTAATAACAATATATTGTTGAACCTTTCACACAAATATACATGCGGCCAACGCACGGCGGTTATAATATACATGAATATATTACTATTTATGGCACATATTTACACACGAAACTTAAAAATATTGACATAGTTGAACACTTACATTTAAAATTATTGTCTTTATCTTCAAAAATTGGAGTATTACTTCTTATTTTCTTCAATATGTTAAGAAATCTTGGCTATATCAACCGACGTTAAAATAAAATTTCCAAAGGACGCGCTCGGAGTGTGCTCGCTAAGCCTTATGGGAGCCCATATTTGGCAACGCGATTGACTGTACGCACTGATCTCAATAATGTGAACAATCCAGTGCAAATAACCTGTATCTCTGTTTTTTGACAGAAACTCTTAATTCCATCTTCAAAATTCTAGCTGTCTTGTTATATCTTCCTTGCATGCCAATAATTAAAGAATTTACGACGCGATATAAGGTACATACATATTTTAAATATTTTAGTTCTGGAGACTAGACCTCCCCACATGCCCTCCCCAGGACATTTTGCTGAAAATACATTAGATCAATACAGTGGCGTAACGTTATATCAGGGGGCCCCCGGTTCAAAATTTTCGAAGGCCCCCCTAGTAGAAGTGCCAAAGGCACAAGTCGAGCGCCGTATATGCACGAGTTTTCTAGGGGGTCCAGGGCATGCTCATCCGGAAAATTTTTGAATCTAGACTCTCTGAAATGCCATTCCTGGACTTTGGGGAGAGATTTTACAGAATTCTGATGGTCATAAAACGACATTGTAATATATCAGAGGCCCTGGCCAATGTTTTTGTTCTATCGCCTAAGCCTGGGGGCCCCCATTTGGGTTGGGGACCCCGGGTTCTCCCGGTCTGAGCCCATAGTAGTTACGCCACTGGATCACTATAAACTCAGTTTATGACTTTATGACAGACCAACTATTAAAGTAGTATTTTTTTAGGTAATTGTATATTCATGTCAATTGCTAAAACCCCACCTCTTTTCACTATTCATTCCCATAAATAGCCAGCCTAACCCCCCCCCCCCACCGCCCCAATACGTGGAGTCGTGGAGATTAAAAGACGATTTATGGTGGTATGGTCCCTGCTTGAATGCATACTATATGTTGAAATGACTGTGATAAACAATTCAATGTTTGGTCTGTACCGTGCTGTATATAGTATACTATATAATCAGTATAAATATGTAAAAATAAGATGTATTTTCTAATCTTATTAACAAAGATTATGACGTACTGAACTAATATTGCCTATAAATCTATAATTGCCTATAACTGTTTTGTCTTTTGAGCAATTATTATTGGCTTATAATTTAACTCATTAATGGTTGACATGATTTGCCACGTACAAAGTTTATGTATTATGATGAGTATCAGTATAAAAATATTTAAAACAACCTCGCTATTGTTATCAGTATTGGCTAAACACCCAAGATAACAACCTATTAAAATTGTCATGCAATAATTTTTTGAACTACTGAGTATTTTACAAAATACAAAACAAGTGAAACTCCATTGATAAATATAAACATGTTATCGATCTTTAGAGTGTCGTTCACTTGTTTTTATATTAGTTGTATTGTTCAAGATTAACCAAAATATAATTGGTTATTTTAACCTATTTACTTTGGTCAATTGGTTAAATTAACCTATTTATATTAGTTGTACCCAAATGTTAGAGATTAACCAAAAAATAATTGGTTATTTTAACCTATTTATTTTGGTTATAACCTATTCAATTGGTTAAAACAACCTATTTATATAAGTGATAACCTTTACAAATAGGTTATTTTAACCTATCAGTTTTTACAGTGTGGAACCCAGGTTGCGCGGGTGTAGATGCACTTTTTTCAGCAGTTGACAGGAGAAAACTGTCTTGTCGTCCCGCCAGTAAACATTATTGCACAAGTCCTTAGTTATATGGCGTCACAGAAGTTTATAGGTACTTAGATAGTGCCCTCTTGGCCTGATGCGGTGTTATGGCCGCTACTTTGGCAGGGTTGTGGAAATAATATTCAGGCGGAATATAAGTGTTACAGAGGAAATCAGTGTTGTATACACGGAAGGACCACGAAGTCTATAATAAGAGCGTACGACTGGAATGGCTACATTATTGCTGTTAGAATATCGTTTGTGTAATCGATACGAACATGATGGAATTCATGTTGTGTGTGTAAAAGATTAAAAAAAAAAAAAAAAATGAATGACAGTTGTGTGGACTTAATATATTTATTGTCCAGGCCAATGAGCCATATAAAAAGAGAAAAAAAGAGAATGATAAAAGGAAAGCTGTTGACATGAAAAAAAAAAAAAAAAAAATGAATGACAGTTTTGTGGACTTAGTATATTTATTGTCCAGGCCAATGGGCCATATAATAAGAGAAGATACGAGAAAAGCTGTTGACATAAAAAAAAAAAAAAAATGAATGAAAGTTGTGTGGACTTAATATATTTATTGTCCAGGCCAATGGGCCATATAATAGGAGAAGATACGAGAATGATAAAAGAAAAGCTGTTGACATGAAAAAAAAATTTTAAAAAATGAATGACAGTTTTGTGGACTTAATATATTTATTGTCCAGGCGATTGGGCCATATAATAAGACAAAATAAAAGAATGATAAAAGAAAAGCTGTTGACATGAAAAAAAAAAAAAAATAAATAAAAATGAATGACAGTTTTGTGGACTTAATATATTTATTGTCCAGGCCAATGGGCCATATAATAAAACAAAATAAAAGAATGATAAAAGAAAAGTTGTTGAAATGAAAAAAAAAAAAAAGAGCCAGTTTAAGCCGAGAGGGCATTGGGTGTTTGACACGATCCAGCACCCATATTAATTGCATTTCTTTTCTTGTCTCATTTTAGGTTTTACTATATTCTCACGTTTGGAAACCTATTGAAATTGCATCAGTCAGGAAATTGATAATAGATTGTTTTAGATCCCGCGTGCGAGAGCTGTAGTGCATGAAGAGATATATTAAGGAAATTGGTTTGTTCCTGCAATTCCAATCTCAGAGAGGGTTACCGGGTGTCTTACCCGCCACAATAGTGCATTTGTGTTTGTATTCATTGCTTCTCTTAGGTGCACAAAACGTCAGTCCAGTGCATGTCCATGGCTTATATGCTGCTCTTAAGTGGGTTCATGGGATATTGCCCTAACTCCAGAAGCCTTTAGATGCTGACATATGTCGGAAAATGGTTGAAGCAGAAAAAAGAAGCAGAACCAGCCCAGTGATGAAGAAAGAGCCAGTTTCTGTGGAACTGATGAAGGATATTGTTCGAAAGTACGGGCATGAAGATGCTACGCTTAAAGATTTGAGACTGGCAACTATGTGTGTTTTATTATTCGCAGGGTTGATCCGTGCAAAAGAATTTCTTATCATTAGAGTACTGGATATCACGTAGTTTGACGATCATTTCGTCATTAATGTGCCAGAAAGCAAAACGGACATCTATAGACAAGGTCAGCACGTATTTATGGCAAAATCCAATCCTGAAACATGTCCTGGTGTTTTAATAAACAGATACCTCGCGAAGGCGAACATCTCACTTAATTAATGACAGTGACGTTCACTTATTTAGGAATCTAGTTTATTTCAAATTAGTAGATAGTTACACTTTAGGAATGAGAGTTGTGTCCTACACAAGATTCCGCGAGAATTATATTACAAAGAATGTCTTAAAGAGTTAGGCTACGATGAAAAGTTGTACGGATTGCATAGTTTTCTTGCTGGTGGTGCAACCACAATTGCTAACAGTTTGACAGCTCCTAATAAAGAGAGATTGGTAGAACTATATCACCAGTGGAAACGGACATTAGTGAAAACATGTATATTAAAGAAGATAAAGCAGAAGGCTTATGGCATGGTTTCTAAAAGCATGGGTATATGAATGTAAATAAGTTTAACTGTGTGAATAAAGTCGAGTGTGGGTACCGGTTTGCTAAGACAAGCCTAGCCTATAATAACAAACTAGTTTGGTTATTGTATTGTGTACAGAGGAATGGCGAATTAATAGGAAAATGCTTTTCATTCGGACGAATAGCATGAGGGAGAATGAAATAGATGTTGCGAAACAGCGCGTTTGAGCATGCGCAGTTGCCATTATCCAATCAGATTGCCAGTATTTCTACTATAAAATATATTACTTGGTCATGCTGATTTCAGAGGGCAAGACTAGACCGCGAAATGCGTGGAACAT